TACTGACACACACAGACAGACATACTGACATACAGACAGACATACTGACACACACACAGATAGACATACTGCCATACATGTAAAAGTTACATTTTTATACCCACCCTCAAGTTTCCTACTTTTTCTGGAGGGTGGCTTCCCTGGGGTCCAGTGTGGTGCCTGAGGCTGATGGGAGTGAGGAGCCCCTCTCCTCACTGCCTCCTTCTCCTCCTCCCTCCCGCACAGCTCCTTCTGTCCCCTCCCGCACGACTCCTCTCTTTATGGGAGGAAGTGACTTGCGGATGTCACTTCCTCCCAGGCGGCTGGCAAAAAGTAAGTCCCACTGTTAAAGGGCCACAGAGCGCAACCAGGCCCCTGATAAAAACAAGCCCACCGGGTGGCCCTAAGTGCAAGCCCCCCGGCTGGCCGCAATGGTGGAAATTTTGTTTTTGAGGGCAGCGGGGTCCACGGGGCAGATGCTTTGGGCCCCCTGAGGTCACTGGGCCCGGGGGAGCTGCCCCATTTGCCCTGCATTAAAGACGGCCCTGCCAGTATTTCTTATCTGCTACAGGAAAGGATGGTCCAAAGTTGTGAATAATTAATTTGATCAGCAGTTCTTATCTTCTGGGCAAAAATTGGCAGATCAGTCTGGCTTGAAGGCATCGCCTGATGATCAAGCAGATCAGTCCACTGAGGGTGGACCATCCAGGGAGCAATGTTTCAGAGCTCTCATCAGAGTCCTAGTGCCCTTAGGATAGCATGAATGCATCTAATGATGTGCTCAAGTTCTACTATCTGGTTAAAGTTCCCTGGTGTCCCCAAAAGAGTGATGCCAGTGCGGTGCGACAAGTCCCTAAATAAGGATAGTTTGGAAAGCCTAGGGTAGTTCTCTTCCATTGCTACTAAAGTCTGTTTAAGGAGTGCTGAATAGTTGCTTTGTCGCCATTTTCATGGTGAATCAGAAAATATAAAGATGATATAAGGTTTTAGTTCTGGAAGCAGATGAGTAAAAAAAATAATAACACTCTCTGTATGAAGTGAAATTCTTACTGTGTGTATCTGTAATAATGCAATAAGAAATAACCATAGTTTTCTGTTAAATATAACTTAAACCGTGATTTTAATAACAATTTAATAAACTATGAACATGATGTCAGAAAAAAAAATACTGAAACATGCTCGGACTGAAATATAATGCATTCCTCTCACGGCCTTTCACCAAAAGACATATTGCTTTTTAATTAAGAGGGACTCTAAATTCAGAGGTAGTGGCACATTCTTATTGCTAAGTACAATGGAATTATCAGCTGTGCTTTAATTTTGTTAATATTATTATTGGCAATTATATAGGGTCAACTTTTTCCACAGCGCTTTACAATGTTAAAAAGGAGGGATTTAACAACACATGAGACAAACAAATAGATATTTCGACTTTAACAAAAGCTCAATGAAGGCCCTGATCGAACAAGCTCACAATCAAGAAAAGGTGTGGTATAAAAACACAATAGGAAGGACAGCATGGGGGATTGTAACCAATTAAGCGGGTGAAAAAGTAGCAGAATTGGAAGGTGAGAGTGAAGGGGAGAATGGACCCACTAAGCTGAGAGACTAGGATATAGGTTCGAGGAATGACAACTGCCTAGGAGGCCAGAGTCTATTCTCAATAGGTGGATTTTAAGGGACTTTTTAAAGGATTGAGGGGTACGGTGGATCCTGATGGAGGAAGGCTAGTTGTTCCACAAGAATGCAGAATGCCACAAAAAGTCCTGTAAGCATAAGTTAGCAGTGCAGGTACAAGGAGCATATAAGAGATGGTAACCGGCCAACCGAGTGGCCAAGATGGGCTGTACCTATGAATTAGTGAAGAAATACAATGGTGGGGTAGAGTTATTGAAAGCTTTGTCGCTTTTTTAAGTTTGCATAAAATGTGACACAGGGTTGGCACATGCTGGCATTTGATGCATATTCCAAATGTCCCATGATTCCCAGTGTGCATCCATAAGGTATAATAGTAAAACAATTTGATGCAATTGTTTGCAAAGAACATCTTGAGAAAATAGAAGATCGAGTCACAATCCCGGTGCAATTAACAGAGGAACTTGTATTCATACTTACCCTTCTAGCACACCAATCCTTAAAATACTTTAATAACATTTACTGGACAGGGAGCAAGCAGAACTGTCACTGTGACTATTTTTTATTAACGATGCTTCAGCATCTTCTTCGAATGGTTTGGCACAACTTAAGTCAATATTCTTTGCTCACAAATTAATTAGGTTTCCTTGTGGGAGTACTCTCCAGTTCTAGCATGCATTTTTTTTGAAGTTCTGATAATATTTTTTTATTAGTCTTATATTTATTTTTTTCACTTCATAACAGAAACTAGGGACGTTATATTTTCCTTCCACACAGTGTTTATTAAACACATTCTCAAGGTACTATTAATTTATCTCTTCCCTCCGCTATCTGTATCTGTTGATAGTTTTACTACGTAGTGTGCTGCAAATGTGTTACATTGTGAACATTTTAATTGGTTCTACAGTTTTCAGGAATTATTGTCTCTCTGTGTGTAATTTAAATGCACATACACCACCCTAAAAACAACAAAATGCTCTAAATGCATAACAGCATGGCAGAAACCAGGATGAATATGTGTGCGCCAAAGCAGTTAATCAGGATAATTGTATTATTTGTCTGTGGGACTTGAAAGTCAAAATATAGAAATGACAAAACTATGACTATGACAAAACTAAAAATAGAAGTTTTGCTCCCTACACATTTTTCTTTGTTATTTGAAATATTGGGTAGGGACTTGGAGACCACTAGCTACAGGGAGAGGGTTGAGATTTTGCATTAGCACTTGGGAATGCAATTCACCTCACTGTACTGCCCAAATGAGAATTGACAGGTCATCCTGCCATGATCTGCCAATCAAGTAAGCCTCCCCACCATGGGAGGACCATGCATTGAGGACTCTTTTAGTAAACATGGCCTGAGTGCGTCTAATTATCTGATCGCGCTACACTTGCTGGCGACAGTTCCCAACTTGCAGGGACACCAGGGAACAAAGCTTGTGTAGTGGGGCCCAAAAATCAATACTGGAGTGTCCCGGAGAAATTTGGAAATTGGTCGGAAGGCCTGCTTTAGCCATCAAGGTTGTAATTGTTCCCATTGGCTGAGAGTGTGAGCTAAGCTCTCTCAGCCAATAAGTACAGTCCTGCACAGTCCTAATCAGAAATTCCTATATAGAACACCAAAAAGCAAGGACGGCAGCCATGGAGACCTGTCAGGACTCAGGTAAGTTGCCAAACTGTACTAAAACTTACTGTGGGATGGTGCCAAAATACTCCAGGAACCATAACCACTACCATGGGCTGTAGTGGTTACAGTGCTTGGAGTATTCCTTTGATGTACTGTAATTGAAATCACACATATACCGCAATCATTAGTTGCTACTTTTTTATATTTAAAATTAGTTATGTGAGGACAATACACACAGATCTGTTGTATTGGAAAACATGTGAGGATAGTATCACGTCAATTCAGGCAGATCTGTTTGTTGAAAAAAAAAGTTACAGCTTTTTTCTAAAAAACAATAAATAAATAGAATATGTTATTCTGTGTTCATATGTTTCTGTTAGATTCTAAATTGTAAAACAGATTGATAGAGATTAAATTATAAGCAGCAAATAACAGGCAATACATTGTATCCAGCAAGTAAGTATTGTATTTAATAAGGCTATTAAACACATTAGCATGCATCGCTTGTAAATCAAATACAACATCACAAGAATGCTATTAAGAGGCAGGACATATTTCTGAACAAATTATTTATTTTTTATTTCAGCCCATCTTCTTTCTTGTTGTGCCTGATCTGTTTGGATTGGCTGCCTGTAGATGTCCATGAACTGTGCCCCCTTTGTTCACGACAAGTGGCCTTACTGGACCATTTGTCCCGCAGCTCATTCCACACTTTGTGCCTTCCTAGCCATCTGTTTACGATAACAATGCTATATGTGTCTTTAGACAATGTCGACATTTGCGTGTGTTCCGCTGTGATGCTGACTACACAGGGCAAGCTGGGTGACAGAAAACCTACATTTGCTAGTAGACTCCAAGTCCTATGATCCTTAGGAAGAACATATTGGTTGTTCCAGCCCAACAATAGTTGGAATTAATTTATTTCTCTCCCGGATTGTGCAATTGAGCTGGTCAGGTCACTCTGCCAAGTAAAGAATATGGTAAGCCTGACTCAGAGTGATGTTGCTATAGAAATTTCACGTGTTTTATCAAGTGATATTTTGTTGCCAGGCTATTGTGTTTCCCGGATGCCAGAAGAATGGTGTATATTTTATGGAAAGCCAAAGAGAATGTGTCTTATTTAAGACTGCGGACATGGTGTGAGTGCATTGACTAATACTCTGCAATGCAATGACCCAGCACTTGGTAGGCATCATGCCAGGGTATAAGCTCATTATATTAAATGTTCCCAAAACTTCTCTTTGCTAAACAAGTAACAGGGAACAGCACAGTATTGTGTCTAAAGAGATTATTTTATGGAGTTTTCATAAAAACTTGGCCTTGAGCGCCAAGGAAGGTAAATCCCACCCTGGCACTGGGCCTGCTAACTATTTTCTTATGCATGGAGATCAAAGCCCAAATACTTTAACTATTTCAGTGCTAGATACAAAAAGCATTCCTTTGTTTACTCACCGGGAACTAAAGGGTTAAATGGACATGTCAGACACCAACTCACTGCAGATGCATTTCAAAGCTTTCATGTTGCAGATTACAGGTTGTGGAGAGAAACCAGGTGAATTGTTAGTTTCGGACTCACCTAGCAAGAGGTTTGCCTTGACGTGGCAGGTGAACTTACACTCAGGTGACCACTGGAGTGATACTAAAAAAACTCTATTTAAATATGCATAGGGATTTGGAATAGTGTGCAAGTAACTCTTTAATTTGTTTTTTTTTTGTATGTATTAGGACTGATGTGTGCTATGGTCATTGCTGCCGCCCAGGAGTAATGGGAGTTTAAGCGCAGGACTTGTTTTTGTATAATTTTTCTTTTTTGTGTGCTCAGTTTTGTTAACAATAGCAGATAGATTACGTTTTTGAGACATAGTGAATCTTTACCTTTGATTCCTTGCTCCATCTCTCCATCCATTCCTTTGTGATGTTTATTTTACTGCTTTAGGTGACATCACACCTCATGTTCAGGCATGTTACTGAACTGCTCGTATCCAGAGATGAAACTCAATAAACACCATTAGAGCAAGAGGCCCGCCAGAAAGTAATTATATTTCTACAATACTGGCCGTCCATCTGTGTGGCACATAAATTCATCCTTCCCTTCTCATATCTATTATATAAACACCAGTCTAATGCTGCACTCAGGAAGTATTCAGTCACTTCCTCTCTGCCAGTGTTCTACCAACAGGGGACCACACAAACCACAAACCCACAAGAAAAGCAAGGCACAGTGTGTTACAAAGGAAAGGTTAGGAACGATTTATTATGAGGCACACATCCCTCAAAATATGATGTTTTATCCTAAATTGCCTTAATTGTGTATAATGACATGATTAAGACCATTTAGGTCAAAACATTGTATTTGGGGGGCAGTGTGCCTCATAATAAATCTCACCTACATTTCCTTTGTAGCTCACTTTGTCTGGTCAGGCTGATACAGTTCAATTTAAAGGAATACTATAGGGTCAGGGACACAAATGTGTATTCCTGACCCTTAACCAATCACAATGCTTTCCCATAGGAAAGCACTGGATTGGCTGAGATAGTCAATTCTGATTACCTCAGCCAAGGAGGTGGGTGCAGGGGGGGAGGAGCAAATGCTGTCCTAGCCTATCAGCATATCCTCATAGAGATGCATTGAATCAATGGATCTCAATTGGGAGCATTCGGTGTCTCCATGCAGAGCAGCAGTGACCCAGAAAACACCTCCTGAGGAGTGACCAGTGGAGGAGTTCCAAGGCTGCAATTTAAATACTGCCTTTTCTCTGGAAAGGCATTTTTCACAACAAAAAAGCCTACAGGGACTGACTATACTCACCAGGACAACTACATTAAGCTATAGTTGTTCTGGTGACTATAGTGTCCCTTTAACAGCCACCTTTCTGTGTCAGGACATCTATCCTCGTTGCACTGTTAGTGAACACAAAGCCTGTACACGTGTGCATTAAAGCGGTCTGTGATTCTGAAGTACACAGCTTCAAAGCTTCCTGAAGCTTCTTCTGCTCCTTTGTTTACTCTGCTGCTCCTGTGTTCCATGAGAATGCAGAAAGGCTAATACACTCAGAGGGAAATCACAAAAAAAGCTGTGAACTCTATATGGCTGCTCTGGAGGCACAGAGAGAAACATGACATATTTCACCTCCATTTATGTCTATGTTCAGTGAGAGTGCTGGGTGCAGATCTGGTGGGCCACGATTTTGGCAAAGACCATTGACGAGCCTGTCTGACAGGCCCCATTCCCATTAAGGCCACCACAAGTTAAGGCCATGTGTAGAGCATTATTTAAACTCTGTCTACATGGACATAGTGAGGTTAGCCACCACAGTGTGAGCACGTATAAAAATGTTCTATCTTTCTATGATGATTAGGGAAAACCCGAAGACAGTGTGACAGGCCCACCTGTCCTCCTGATGTTCTCACAAAAACAGGTGTAAAACAATGAGCTGTCTGTATCTGCTCTTGAACCACAGACAGCTTCCTGGCTTTATATCATTGTTCTGTGTGAAGGCCTGCAAAATGGGACATGACATCTGGTCCTCCCTGTGCCCTCACTGAGCACAAGTATAAGAATATCACGAAGCCCTGGAGCTGTGTGTGCTGTAGAAAGCAAAGAAAGATGTTTTCAACTATATTACAGGGACTCAGTTTTCCACCTCCTAAATAAGGAAGGCAAATGGGAAAGGGGCAATACAAATAATCTAAAACAAGGACAAAGGGGAGTTGCCCATATAGATAGGAAGAGTGTGAGGAAAGTCAGGAAGAGTAGCATTAGGACTGCAATCATTGTAGGGTTAGCATTGTATTTATGGTAAATTAGAGTTAATTAGTAAAATATAGTTATTTCCATGCATAGTAGTCAGAGCGGAATTGCTCTGAAGTTCTGCTACATATACAATAAAACCTTGCCTGGAGTTTGGAGTTGGATTTTAGAATCCATAGACCAGAATAAAAAGCCTCTACTTTGCTGAGTTACGCCGTAGTCTGGGTAGAGCTCCAAACTGGTTATGTAAAACCTGAGAACTTGAAGATTATTTTACATATTTATTTTAATACATTGGCCATATATTTTTCTTAGCAAAGCTTCCCTCTGTTTCAAAAGTGCAAAAAATTGGTCATCTTTAAAGAAACATTCTGGACACCATTACCACCTTATCTCAAATAAGTTGTTATGGTATCTGGAGTTCCCTGGTGTTGTTTAGCCTTCAAGTGTGAACATGGTTGAAAAAGTGTCCTCACTTGGGCTAATGGTGGAACATTAGCTTGAGCAGAGAAGGGATGGCAGTGATAGGCTGAGATAGCTCTTTGCCTATCATTTGCCGCCCCTTCATACATTTTTAACCCTTATTGCTGTTCTCATCCTCTCATTTCTTCCTCTTTGATGCTCAAATACAATAGCCCAAACACAGGAAGAGGGGAAGCAGACTGTTGCTTGGAGACGCTACATTAGCAAAATGGTTTAACACTTGGAGGTAAGATGTTGCCAGGGGACTCCAGGCTCCACAAACACTTTATTTAGATGCAATAAAGCATTTACCCTGTAGCAATCCTCTACTGAGAACCCTGTATTTCTCATTATAAGTTACATTCAACAAGTCATGGAAGTGAACAGATTAATAATGATTTAATATTCACTATAGTATGTATACCGTTAGGTGTCAAGTGTTTTTTTGCAAGGACAATTCTATACAATGGGCTTCTGTCTCAATCTCAAATTGTTTTACGGACCTGTACAGAATTCTGAAATTAGACTGATATATCGGTTTGCAGTCAGTTTTGTTACCAACTGTGAAGAATTTTTGGGCAGACGTAACAGAGGGGACCAGGGTTATACATGGGCATAGGAACCTTGGGGGCAAAGGGGGGGACGACAAATTGGAGGTTGAGACAGTTGGAGGTTGAGACAGAACATGTCTTAAAAGCGCTGGTTATCTCATTCTACTAATAGATGTCTTTGTGATAATATATCATTTTACCTTTATAAAACTATTTGGTTCAATGTATGATCCCTGGGTGGGGCTAGGAGGTAATTATGAAAAGGCTACCTCACTCCCAGATTTTCTTTGGTTACTACACTGATGAGCCTAAATTACCTGAATAGCAGGTGATGAGGACCTGGCTGTGTAGTCCTGCAATCAGCTGGTGCTTCACAAGTCCATTGACTTATCTTCAATTGATGGAGCAGGTAACATGTGGCTGGATGTAATTGTTAAGAAAGAAAAGTTTTAAAGACTGTGCAAAGAGAGAAAGCAGTGAGATATGACACATAGAGACACAACAAAGACAGAGAGAAATATTAATAACCGACAACATGGATAGAAAAACTGAAAAGAGACAGAGGGAGAATAGACAACATAAAGAGGGACAGTGTAGAGATAGGCAACAAAGAAAGAGACAGGAGCAAGTTAAAAATTATATTTACGTAAGGCAGATTAAAACAAGAAATAAGGAAAAAATTACAAAAGGGCACAGGTGACAGACAAAAAATAGAGAATGTGTGGGAAGGATACAACATAAGGGAAATATTTTGAGAGCAAAAAAAAGCAAAATAGAGAACATTCTATGAAATTAAATTTAATTTAAAAAAATGAGGGAACAAGTAAAAGTTTGCATATTGTATATATGGACTGGAAGGGATGGGATTTGTGAGCTGGAAATGGGAGGGCGGAGTGCCTTTAGGGCTGGCCAGAGGGGTCAGGGACTGGAAATTGGGCAGGTGACTATATGTCTATGTTGGTGGGGCATGTCTATGTCGGTGGGGCTAGTTAATCTGGAATATATGGCCTCAGGGGTGTGCAATATGTTTAGTTAAGGAACACCTTGGGGGGTGGAATATGACAGGGAGAGATGACTTAGGGAAGGGATATGGTGGGGGAGAGATGAATTTGGGAGGGATGTCTTTTTGTGTGGAGATAAACTGCGGGAGGGATGTGGCTGTGCTAATATGTACCTGGGGGGGAAGTGTTTGTTTGTGGAAGATGAAATGTAAATGAGCAAAGTTGAAGTGAGCATTAAACGTGATTGTCTGGTAAGGTGCTACGAAAACCACTGGTGTGCATGCTAAACTCCTATAAACTGTTTACTAGATTCTCAGTTGCAAATTTTCCTTATATTTTCATTTCATATGTTTTCAAGTTAGATATACGGATTTAAAAGACCTCTTTTATTTCTTGGAATCTGCCCTTAAGAGCATGTAATCATTTTTCTACAAACCAGAAAAATATTTCCCTTTCCAACCCCCTCAGTCTTAAATTAAATGTTTTACTAACCCAGCATTCAAACATCATTTTTTAATGCAACACGAATCTGGCTCCCGTGGCCCTAATATCCAGGAATGTAGTGTTGTGCTATATGAGAGTTAGCTCAATGAATTTATCACAATGAAAATTAAAAACGCGTATCAAAGAATATTTTGTTTCTGCAGAACCACATTGTTTACAGTTAAAGAGACATCTTGCAGAAGTGCAGTGATATATTTACTACAAATTGGGAAATATAAAACTACGGGATATTTGGCGCTGGGTTTTTAGTTCATGTGTCTTTTGAAAATCCGTGCTATTTATTTTACTCCGCAAAGGGTTATTTATCAAAATTTTAATTATTAGGAATTCAAAGTGAATTTTTAATTTTAGGACTTAGTAGGCAAACTGAAAAAAAGAATCTCAACTAAAAATCACCAATGTTTTCAATTTAGCTATTTTGGTCTAGATTGTTTTTATAGAATTTACACTACTAATAAAGAAGAAGAATGCCTACCTGACAACACTGCCCCAATCTGGGCCCCCAATTCCATGTTGGAGGTTTAATGGATCATTCTAAGTCTCCATGAAAAAAATAGGTTTCATTTTAATCAGCTCTTACAGCACAGTGTTTTTACCTTAGACATTATTTTCTCCTGTGTTGTTAATGCTATTAACAGAGCCGAAGATAAGAAATTCTAAAATGAACACACTGTGTAAGGGAATCTAAAATGAACCCCTTTAATGTATGGTGCCTTGCTTCTTAGGAATTAGAGTAGTTATGATGCCAGGAGTGCCAAGGTGCCATCCCAGGGTAGGTAGACAAACCATTTGGCAAAGATTAGCTGGGGACCACCTGGGGAGCAGTCACCTCCTCCTGTGCTGCCAGAAGCTCTCAGCCAATGAGCTGACCCAGCAGGATTCCGTGGCAAATCCAGGAAGGAAGCAATGGGGCAATCACTCCCCCCCACCCTCGCTGAGAAAATAGTAAAGAGCCAATGCTCTCCGTTGCAGAGCCGGCACTATTCAAGCGCCGGCCCTGCTCTGTGGTCAGAGATCTTCCTCACCAGCCCACAGGCACTTTGCTTGCAGCCTACAGGGGAGGGAGGACACAGGAGCTCAGGCCTTTGGGTCCTTTTCTCATGAGCACACAGTGCTGCTGTGGTTACTATGGCCACGCTCTGGATCTCGTGAGAGTGACCACTAGCCCAGGAGCCTCAGGCTAGAAATCACTCTCACCACCAGAACTGTCAGGGTTTCTCCACTGTCCCACCAGGGATAGCAGGACATATCCCCCCTCCCTGAGCAAAGGTAAGAAGGGAGGGGGGATTTAAAGATTGTTTATTTTAATTAAAAAAAAAGTATATACATTTATTAATCAGCTCCCTTACCCCCACACACAATAACTTTCACACACATTGTCCCCCCACACAAACACTGGCCCACACACTGTACCTCTCACACACACACTGTACTTTTCACACACACACTGTATCCCTCACACACACACTGCACTCCTCACATACACACTGAACCTACACACACACACTGTACCCCTCACACACACTGCACCCCACACACACTGTACCCCCCCACACACTGCACCCCTCATCAACACACTGTACCTCTCACACAAACTGTACCTCTCACACACACTGCACCCTCCCACACACTGTACCTCTCTCACACACACTGCACCCCTCATACACACACACACACAAATTGCACTCCTCACACAAACACACGCACCACACACACTTCACCACTTACACACTATTGCCCCTATATCCTACTACAGGTTGTTAAACTGTTCTAAAACTGTTTGACTACTTATTCTGGGAGGGCACCACAGCACTTCTGGCATCACAGTAACTACATAGAACTGCAGTGGTTATTGTGCCTGGATTGTTCCTTTAAATAATCTTTCGGTGACCCTCCCAAGATAAGGTTCTGGATCCACCCCTGGCGGGACTGGGCTTAACCCAGTGAATCTAATTTACAGCTCCTTGCAGGATCTTCCAGCTCCACAGGAGGTTATGACTATCACCTTGCAGACCTCAGGTACGTTAACAAACTGACTAAAACTGCAGTGGTTATGGTGCTTGGACTGTTCCAAACAACACAGTGAGAGCATACCATTAAGTGATCTATGGACCTGAGTTTTCTTTTTCATAGGGGAGAATTGTCCCGTAAAAATAAGTGGAGTAAATCCTATTTAGTAATCAGAGTATTTTTCACACCATGCTTGTGGACTTTCTCGATGTTCTTTGTACAGGCAGCCATGTGTCACAATTTACTTCTGGCATTGTTCCTTCCTGCACAGATTAGAATCCTCCCAATAAATACTTTTATCCACAGCAGCCTTGAGAGGTGATGCTATAGGACTAAAACAATGAGTACCTATAAAGAAAAAAATGGGTGTTAGATACATTTGTGTTAACAACGATTCCGTTCACGTAGGTCCAAGAATTCCTCAAACCAATTCTTCACACATAACTAACACTCATCCTTCATGATACTAACACTTCCTCCATGCATTGCCCCAGGGGCCTGTCAATCACCCATTGTTTACGCTGCTCAGAGAATATAATTACATATTCATGCATTCAGTGTGCTTGCTGCATGTTTAGCTATTTCTCCTTTACAAGGCATCACCAACGAGCAATCATGCAATCTACTGTCTATTTCTAAGAAACGAGCACTTTGATGCATCTCATTTAAATAAAAATATAGCTTGCAGGTTCGAAATCTCACTTGACTGCAGTTTAATGAGGTGATTAGTAGTGATTTATACAATCTCTGGGGGGACCAGTTCTTCCCTGTTTTAGTGGAGGAGATAAGTGATAAATGTATGATCGTAATTAGATGGTGCGATAAATGTATGATCATAATTAGGTATGTTATCAAAAGCACATGTCACCATTAACAGATCTAGGTGTGTCACTTTGTCGCATTTCATATGAACTAATTTGTGATGAAGGAAAAAAATATATGAAACAAGTGAATAAAGTTAAAAATGTAATTTATTCATTGTACAAGGTAAAATGAAACAACATTTAACCCTTACTTTACCAAGTCTGTACACCAGCGCTCATCACATTCCGAGCACCTTTCATTCGGCAGATGTTCATCTGCAAACATTTGGACGTTCAGTTCCCACTTCTGCTGTTTGATCAGGGACCATACGGCATTAATTAGTGATAAATGGAAGGTTTTTGACTTATGGTGGCCAGTAGTTTAATGTATTCCTCATCGGAATGAGCAAAGAAAATGTTAAAATTAATGTTGGGGTCCCCAGGGACAGAAATGATTCCCCACATTTAACCCAACAGATGATATCACCCAATGTGCGGGCTGTTATGCTGGGTATGGGCTCAGGAAATTATCCCATCCAACCCCTATCATCTATTGATTTGCAATAATGTGGATTAAGCGATGAGTCCCTAATTATAAATAATTTCCATGTTATATTAAATAGTAATCGCATATAAGATCAGTTATTACCCAAAACCTAGCTGTGTCTACCTCACCATGCATAGTAAGGAATAGATGCTCTACAACCACAACAAAAATATAAAATAACCATAGGGTGGCTTTCCCCTGGTCCCTAAGTAACATGATGAATAATTTACAAAAATCTTCACCCCCAAGCCTCTGCTACTCTGATTAATGGTAGGCTGGGCAAGTGCTCTCAAGAAATGTAACAGAATAAAATAAAATAGAACTTATAGTTATAATTTATCTGAGCCTTATCTCTGCCCATTGAAAATATATCTTTATGGCCAAGGGTTCTAGGCACCACTGCCGAATCATTTCTAGACTGGGATCTATTGATTAATGGAGTACGGAAGGCACCGGATACAGTCCAGCTTTCTATTATGTTTATTATTATTATTGGAGTTTATATAGCGCCAAATTATTCCTCAGCTCTTTACAATATTTTACTGGGAAGAATTTAGTAACTAATGAGAAAAACTATTAGACATTTTTATCATGAACGGTTGAACAAGCTTAGAATCTAGAGAATGCAGAGTATAAAAACATAATAGGAAGGTCAGTGTGGGGGATAGTAACCAAGTGACAGGGTGGGAAAGTAGCAGAATTAAGTGATGAAAGTGAAGTGGAAATTGGACCATTAATCGAACTTAAAGAGCAGAATATGGGTTACCTAGGAGACCTGTTTGCCAGGTAAGTTTGCCAAATGAGGCAGAAAAAACAGAAGGGATCAAGGACAGGTCCTTCAGGGACTCCATCTGATTTAGAATTAGGGGAGGATGTGTTACTAGAATTGGAGACACCAAAAGATTGTTAGGGATACATAGGATGCCTTCATCTATTGAATATCTAACAACCCACACACACATTTTATTTTGCCTCAACAATCTGCAATTATGGCCAGCTGTATTTAGCGCCAGGCTAACAAGGCATAAATACCTTATGCGGGGCCCAAGAGTTGGCTGGCTGCCCACCCTTGAGCGTGTGTGTCTGTCAGTTTGTGTGTGTCTGTCTGAGTGTGTTTGTCAGTGTGTGTGTGTCAGTGAGTGTGTGTATATGTCTGTCTGTCAGTGAATATGTGTTTATATCTGTGAGTGTGTCTGTCAGTGAATGTGTGTTTCTGTGAGGGAGTATGTGTGTTTCTGTGAGTGAGTTTGTGTGTGTCTGTCAGTGAGTGTACCTGAGAGTGTGTGCCGGTCAGTGAGTGGTTGTGTCTGTGTGTATGTCAGTCAAAGCGTGTGTTAGTCTTTAACAGGAAGAGGTGAGACTTTGACCGGAAGGTGTGGGGCAAATTTAAATTAGGGGGTGCCCGAGTTCCGTCATGCCTATGTCAGCACAAATTCAAAATACACCACCAAATTTTGCATGCATTTGATATTTCATAGAAAAATAGCAATATTTAAGGAAACATCTGTTCACATAGAACATTTATTTGCTCAGTGAATGTTCCATGAGACATTTAGTCCTTCAAATGAATGTCACTTTATCCAGATTTTCCCATCTCTATTTTTTTATTATGAAGGAATTTAATGTGTCCACTTTTTTCAAACACAACATATGATACAGAAGTCAGTGCTCCAACAGCAATAAATTAAGTACTCATTCAAATTTTAGGGTGTCACAAACTTACCTTTAACTGCCGCCCGCACCGCTCCTCTCCTTAGGCCACATAGGCAGAACGCACTGCCTCAGCCCATGTGGCCCGAATGCTACATGTAGCAATGTGTGGTCTGAATAGAATGCTTACCTTCGGTCCCGCGAATGTCTCCCTCTGCTAGTTCGCAGGATGAACTGCAACCTCGCAAAAATAAAATATAAAGCCATGACGTCATTACCTTAAAGGGACCACGTCATCTAGGCTGTTTGGGCTCGCAGAGATGACGTGCACCAATGGAAACTCTTTTGTGCCTATTTAAGGCTTGTTTTAGCCTCCATTCTTTGCCTTATCGTGGTTTCTGTTAGATCTTCGTTTAGTGCTCTAATTTCCTGTGTTTGACCTCGGCTTCTTATTTGACTTGTGATTTCTGGTATCGTGACCTCGGCTTTGTATTTGACTTGTGATTTCTAACATTGTGACTTCGGCTTCGTATTTGACTTGTGATTTCTGGTATCATGACCTCGGCTTCGTATTTGACTTGTGATTTCTGGTATCCTGACCTCGGCTTCATATTTGACTTGTGATTTCTAATATCGTGACCTCGGCTTCGTATTTGACTTGTGATTTCTGGTATCATGACCTCGGCTTCGTATTTGACTTGTGATTTCCTGTATCCTGACCCGGCTTTGTCTTGACTCTGAGTATATCTGTAATCCTAACCTTGATTTATCTTGACCCTGTTTCTTGTTTTTTTAATACGTTGAGTCCGACCATTCTAAGGCTCGGTAATACGTCTTTCGGATCCATCTTTTGTGGGTTCCCTCTCTCCTGTGTGTTGGGGTATGACTCCCATGACATGGGTCATATCATCGATTGAACGTTTCATAAAAAATGAAAAAAGAAAAACAATACAAGGAGAAAGACTCATACACTAGCATAACATCAGAAGAACTTATGACATAGAAAGGGAAATTGAGGGGGCGGAGCCAAGCCAGCGAGCTGACAAGTTGTGCCTTGCACGAGCTCCTGCTGCAGGGGCTACTCTCTCGATGATTACTCGGGCTGCAGTGCTGGAAACCTCCCATAACGAAGCTACATGGATGGGGGAAGCCTGCACGTACCCGCAGATACCAAAATCGATGCCCGGAACGCCCGGGAACTGCAGCAGCAAGTAGAGGCCTACTGGAGAAAGATGGCCGCTTCCCCCCTACTGCTACAAGCTACAAGCCACGAGCGAGCAAGACACATCCCCACCCCCTGTGGACCGTTGGGGGATATCTCAGTTCCCGCCAGAAGGAGCACCCAACACCATATACCTCATGGATGACCTGGCAGGCCTCACAAACTACACGGGACAGAGGTCTCCAAAATGACGGTCGTATTAGACCCAGATTCAGGCGGCACGCAAATGCAGCAACATGATCTGCCAGACTCCAGCAACAAAGTAAGATACTCTATTGACGCTATTTTCGACCGCTTTTGGGGCAAGCTGCTGACCCGTATTGGACCGGCATTGACTACCCCTATCCCGACTGTACGGGACCACGTGCGCACAGAGAGGAGAACTGGGAAACCATCTCAGGGCACAAAACGATCCCCCACCTCAGCCATCCCCACAAGATGCCCACCTGGGCTGAGAGCAAGAAGGGCCACAACCCCACAGGTACCTACCACACAGGTACAGGGCCACAAGGCAGAAGCAACGACAGACAGCAACTGACTGCAAGACCCACAGAACCGCCCTGACAGGAAAGACCCTGGACCTCAATGGCTCCCAGGGTACCAGCTCTCACACAGCGCCTGGGCCGGAGTGGAGCCTCACCTCCACGATGCTGCACTAGCCCTCCAACTGGACTGAGCCCAAACAAAAGAAATAACCCTCGCACTCACCGTATCATGGGGCTGGCACGCCAATCCACAACCTGGGTCCACGAAGCAACGATAAGAAATTACTCTAATATTAACTTGGAAGATGTGTCTCATTCTGTGTCTATGATATGCCTATCTCTCCCGCTTTTACTTTTACTTCCATGCTTTACTATCACTCAATGTTCACACATCAATTCAATATAATATGATATTATAAAATGTGCAAGTCCCCTCTTTTCCCCACTACACTATGCGATGATAAGCCTGAAGAATGCCTTTGGGGCACCTCAAGCCTGTATGTTAAACCTTTTGCACGTCAAAAATACTAACTAAAAAAAAGAAAAAAAGAAAGGGAAATTGAAATTTGTGTACATTAAACAAAATCTATCCACTCTTTTTTATATTGTAAATAATAAAAGATGCTAAAAGGAGTCTTTTGAAGCAGGTCACATTCCATTATGTAGACTCATGGAGACACTGTGGCTGACTGCTCAAGCTTCTCGATGAATGAAGTTAAGTGATGCCCTTCAAACAGTGCTTTCAGTCCCTGGCAAATACACTCTCACACACTTTAAAAGCACTCATCTCTGTATTCAAAGGTTCATATAGCACCCGTATTGTACTTACATGTCAGCCTACCAGCTAAAAACTGTCTACATTAGGCAAAAGAGCATCAAAGAAAGTCTATATATTGTGTTACCACTTTAAGAGTGTTCATCAATTTTTTAGAACTTTTTTAATAATTCATATAAATTGTACTTTGTCTTTTTACTCATTATATTACTGGGCACTAGTGTTGTCAAATTGGTTGTTTTTTTTTTATGCAACTTTGTTAAGCAGTCTGACATTAAGGGGAAATTGCTACCCGTCAGTATGGACAAAATCATATGTTGACAAAGAGAAAGTAATTAATTAATCATGAAGGTTGCCATGAGATTACCTCTGTCATTTTTGGGGTCTTTTTCACTGGTCTACTCTTGTACATAGAAACATAGACATAAAAACATAGACTGTGACGGCAGATAAGAACTATTCTAGTCTGCCCAACTTTCTAAGTACTCTCATTAGTCCCTGGCCTTATCTTTTAACTAGGATATGTGTGAGTATACAACATAAAAGTATATGGAAAACTCTGCTAGACCATTGGATTCTCCATAAAACTGTTTCGATTCAATAAAGTAAGATTATATTAAAGTTTTTAAAATGTATTATCTAACAAATACTTAAAAATTACAACAATCACAAAATGTTGAATGTATACTCTAGTGATAAGAAGATCACTGATAATGAGCTAAACTGAAGACAATGTGCAATTATAGGCCTAGGGAAAACTATTTTGTCCTGCATTATCTGTGGCAGCTAGGCATAAGCACACTTAGTACACCCCTTCCATACATCAAACTGGGTTATTTACTTCCTAAATTCTCTAGGGCTGTACCTTTTCTGTGGAACTCCCTTTCCTTTTCCGTTAGACGCTCACCCAGTCTCTACTCCTTCAAAAAATCATTAAAATCTAACTTTTTCACAAAAGTATATCAATTAAACTGTTAATGGTTTAAAAAAAAACCCACACTAAGTCTTCATTGAATACTATTCTACCAATCTACTTCGCTAATACTTCCCTTACCTTTTGTGTCACTTTAGCATACTCCCTCTAGCATGTAAGCTCCTCGAACAGGGCCCTCAACCCCTCTGTTCCTCTGTGTCCAACTTGTCTGGTTACAACTACATGTTTGTTCGTCCACCCACTGTAAAGCACTGAGGAATTTGTTGGCGCTATATAAATATTATAATAATAAAGTGAAGGTGAATTCCAAGTGAATTTTAAATTTAAGGTAAAACTTAAGATACTCTGGCCTTAAATTTGAAATTCACTTTAAAGTCTAATTTTGGTAAATAACCTTATGTGTCTCTCTTACTGACAGACAAAAGGCTTTTGTTTAGCACATAACTAATTTCCAAACACATTTAATATAGTTTAAAGACTCATTAGTGAATAATCTTTTGCTGTAATGCTCTGCTATATATTTATGTGCACCCAAAATTAGGAACCTCTGTAACAGAGGAACATAAAGGTAGAGAGGGGAAACAAAAGGCTTTGTTTCCTACTTCTATTAGTTGAGTGTTATCCCTTGGTAACCTCATTTACAGTAGTTTTCCTGTAAATGAAAATTGTAGACCTCGCTGCATATTTCATGGTGTGTGTCATTGTTTGTGTACGTGTCCTTTTATATCTCTAGTGGCTTTTTAACCCCTTAAGGACCCAACTTCTGGACTAAAAGGGAATCATGACGGAATATTTGCGTCATGTGTCCTTAAGGGGTTAAGTTCTATGGTGTCTGTGTGCATGTTCATTCTTGTTATGTCAATATTTAACTAATATTTCCAAGAACACAGCATTGGTAGCAGATATCAGAACCCCCCGTAATTGTAGTTTCTGTACAGTACAACTCTCAAAATCCTCAGCCAACATCCAGCCACACATCAGAGGAGTTTTCCCATCTCAGAAAGTGCCTATTATTTTGCAGAGCAAAGAAATAACAGAAATTATTGCATAATTAATTCATTGTATTATAATAATCTAATAATCTTCTTATTTTCTATAAGCATGAAAATAATCTGGTCTTTCAGAGCCGTCACTTCATTTTGTCAAACGTTTTTGACTGACAAACCCGGGCACTTATAAATTGTTTTATTCTTTATTACACACCATGTTCTGTAACTGACATCACAATCCAGTTCGGTCTTGGTTCAGCCAGGGCACACATTCCATTGGCGTAGAAGAAACAGAAACCTTGTTTCTAGTTTAATTTATTTCTCTACACTCTCTCTAGCAGACTGACAGATGCAAATAACAGAATTACACATTGTTAAATATGAACCAAGACTCAAATCCACCAGGTGCAGCCTTTCTTATATTTATGTTACTGCTGTTGACCCAAAAGAAGTAAAAAATAGTATTTTGCACTTTTTCCACAAATTGGGAACAAATTACTTCTTGAATCTTGATGTCAAAATGGCAATCAGATGTTATCTTTGATTTACAAGCTGATACAATACATTTTAACCATTAGGCCCTAGATGATTCTGCATCTATTTGGAAAAGAAAATCCAGACTTTTAAACAATCTGTACAGAATTTGATAAAACAACCTCTGAAGCCAGATAATTCCACATCTTTATTGCTCTTTACTGTAAAGAATCCTTTGTCTGCCATAAGTGAAATCTCTTTTCTTTAAATCTAAGTAGGCTAGCTTTTTGTCCTTTGTTAGTGAACAGTTTACCAGTGAGCTACTTATATTGTATATATTTGTATAATTTACATATAGTTACATAGGCTGAAAAGAGGCATGTGTCCAACAAGTTCAGCCTTCCTCACATTTGTTTTTTGCTGTTGATCCAAAAGAAGGCAAAAAAACCCAACAACACAGTTTGAAGCACTTCCAATAGCAACAAACTAGGGGGAGAAAATCACGATTGACCCCACAAAGGCAGTCAGATTAATCCTTGGATCAAGAAGCTATTACCCGACAGTTGAAAAATGATGTAATTGGGGGCGTGGCCTGGACACTGAACAAGATGGACGCTTAAGCACGGTGCTCCGCTCCACCAAGCCCTTCTAAGCATTCCACAATAAGCTACAGCTGACAAATGGGCCGCAACCGCCATCCAGATCACCCTCAGACCCCGAGGGGCACACAATCGAGACCCCAACAAGGCCCGATGGATGGCTACGTACACCCTCAGAGGGAACCGGACAGTGAGGCCGAGCCGACGAGCCCTGCACCGCTATCACCAGCCTCAATGGCCGAAAATGAACCGTCGGCCCTAGACCGCATAGGGGAAGAACTACGCCTTATAGCCACATCTATGGCTACTAAAACTGACCTGCTGTCTCACACCACCGCAATTCAAGATGCATTGAGGGCGGAGATAGCGGGAATCCGCACGGAGGTCGGAGCTCAGTCGGGCCGCATCCAGTCCCTAGAGGCCTCCCACACAACGCAAGCGGATAGGATCACGGCGACTGAATCGGCCATCACCCGACAAGGAGAGCTCATACTTGCTATGAGACGCACAATGGAGGATCTCGACAATAGGGGAAGACGCTGCAACATTAGAGTCCACGGAGTTCCTGAATCGGACACCGGGGAAAATGTTGAAGGGCTGCTTTCTGCACTATTTAACAGTATACTACAATGGGAGGCCCCGCCAAGCTTTAAATTTGATAGGGCTCGAGAGATATAATATGTTGCCTTCACTCGTTCCCTATAAAAGACGCAATAATGCACAAAGCCAGAGAGAAACCAACATGGCCATACTTGGGCGCTTAAGTAGCCCTGTTTAATGATTTATCTCCTATGACGCTGGACGCGAGAAGGGCACTCCATCCAGTCACGACCCTACTCCGAGAGCACCACATCTCCTACAAATGGGGGTTTCCATTTGCCCTCCAGGTGCACCACCAGGATAGGTGGTTATCGGCTAAAAGCCCAGAAGAAGTACCGCGCCTACTAGAAGACATGGGCCTACCACCCACACCGGTCCCCAACTGGATACTAGACCCGTTGGGACACGGACCTCGACCACAACGTGTACCCAGGAGACGCAGGGGGGGATCTCCACCTGGACCCCCACCGAGACGCCGACCAGATTGGGGACACCCGGCGGAGTAAGTACACATGCAAACACAGCTACCTCGGGGGTGCCCTCACCAACCCAACACCCCAATAGCATCTATGGCCCTGACTGACCCGGAAAGCCTCATCTCCTCTCATAGCTACAGGACAGGGGGGACGACATGAGAAGCCTTGGGGGGGGGAAACGGGTGAAGGTTTCATATAATGTTAGCCGACCACATACCCGGCCGAGGACCCTCCCCTTCTGGACTCCATACGGGGCACCATGGCCTCGGCCTTGTGTGAAGAGAGGGGGCGACCCACCTGGCGTACCCTGCGGTTTGGGGGGGAATTTGGGGGATCTTGGGGGATTCTGGGGGCACACTTGCAATGGCGGACCTGGTACCAGAACATTAACACCCAAACTTGACTGGGCGGAACACTCTCCCGGCCGACCCTCACCACAGCCAAGGATTAATGAGACGGCTTTTATTGGGACATCCACGATAACAAGCATCCAGCTTCCAGGGACTGGGGATCTCGGGCTACATCATGAGCGGTGGGGGAGACAGTGGAGGGGTTAGGTCCGGCGGGGGGTTCCCTCCCCGGCCGCACACGATACCTAGGATCAGGACACACACACACACATATGCACACGCCTTCACACACACACACACACTATCACACACACACACACCTGCGAACCCTCCCCCTTTGGCCTGGGGGGGAGGGGCTCCTCCCCACTCATACTCATACTCACACTCACACAACCATCTAGCCCTCCTTCAGCTGACATGCCTGGTGGCCAGCGGCCTCAGCTGGTCTCCAGGGGTGCCCCTCATCTGAGGTCCCAGGCCGGCGGAGCCACCGCCATGCACTACACAGGGTTCAGATAGACCCCAGCCGAAGACTAACACCCTGAGCTCCATATTAGGATAAGGTTAGCCATACAAACGAGGTGTGGAAGGGGAGGGGAGGCGGGGACTTGGGGGGGGGGCTGATGCTGGGTAATCTCATATTGTTATTGCATTGTTAAGGCCTGTTCGGCCGAGCTGTTTTATGTTCATCTATTTTATTTTAAACTGATTACGGAATGCTAATATACACACAGACCTTACGCACCATTGGGCAAGGTGGAGACTGGACATAACCTATATAGAGACCTAGACAACACAACCTTGATAGGTGCCTAGGCTACGGACCTCAACCCATACCCGCGCACTGTATAGGACGGTGGAACTCATTAGGAGATCGCGACTCGACCTGGCTGCCGGGACGGACCTCCTGAGTACCCCACCGTTGCTCAGGTTCCCTCTACTAGAGGTCGGCACACGACGGGGAGACTACACCACACCCCAGTGGTGACGCCCTAATCCAAGGGCATTGACCCTGACCCACCTCTCCTAAACCATCTATCATCCCTACCTTAACCCTCTTTCTGCTACACCTGCACCCACCCATCCTTAGTTTTTCCCGTACATATCATTTCCCCGCTACTCCCGGAGCCGACTAGCCTTGGGTCCCCGCTGCAACCTATCTGGCTTGGACGGAGGGCCGAGGCCATCGCGAAACCCTACTAAGGGACGAGAGAGGGGAGCTCTGACGAATCGGCCGTGGGGGGGGGCCCTGAGGCTGGGGTGAACATGACCTACCAACCAGAACCCATTAATATCCTTACTCTTAATTGTAGGGGACTCAACATCCCGGAGCGCAGAGTCCACCTACTCCGAGACCTAAGGAAGAAACATATCTCGGTAGCGCTACTCCAAGAAACACACTTCCGGGCAGACACTACCCCGAAACTCCAAAACATGACATTCCCGAAACCCTATCTCTGTAACCATCCGGCACAACGCAAAGCCGGAGTAGCCATCCTCCTAGCAGCAAGATTAGAATTCCAGGAACTAGCGTTCACAAGCGATCCCCAAGGTCGATACCTGTTTCTGAAAGGAACCATACTGAACAAAATGTACACATTCGCCTCCATCTACGTACCCAATAGGGGTCAAGCCCAATTTATTAAAAACACATTAGCTAAACTACAAAATTTCGTGGAAGGTACCCTGATAATAGGGGGAGACTTTAATGTACCCTTGGATCCCATCCTGGACTCATCAACAGGGCATAGCTGTATCCCGCAACGTAACATTCGCCTAATCAAAAAGTCACTGAATGACATGAATCTGGTAGATTGTTGGAGGACCCTACACCCCGACACGAAAGACTACACTCACTACTCGGCGTTACATAGCCGATACTCCCGCATCGACTATGTGTTCACCAGACAAATCGGGCTCCCACACCTCCTTTCGACCAACATTGAGCCGGCAACGTGGTCGGACCATGGGGCGGTCAGGGTTACTCTGGAATCCCCACTTTTTCGACCTACACGATGGACTTGGAGGCTCAACGAAACGTTGCTACAGGACCCGGGCACAAAAGAACAGATCTCACAGGACCTGACTAATTACTTCCAAGACAATGGAACGATGGACACGTCCCCAATCTCGGTGTGGGAAGCGCACAAGAGTGTAATCCGAGGCGCGCTTATTCGTATAGCTTCACAAAAGAAAAAAGACGCACAAAGAGAGATGGCTGACCTATATCGGCAAATCGCCCCCCTGGAAACATTGCATAAAAGATCCCAACTTGTGACCACATATGGGGAATTGTTACAAGCTAGACGACAACTCAAGGACCTCTTGACGAAGCGCTACTTACGCTCCATTCAGCGGTCCAAGGGTTTTTTCTACACCCATGCCAATAAGGGAGGACGCTACCTTGCGAGATTACTAAAAGACAACACTCCCCACGCCCAGGTCCGCAAATTACGATTATCCTCGGGCGCCACCTCAATTCACCCAACCGAAATAGCCGAGGAATTCAGATCGTACTACCACAAGCTATATAATCTACGACCCCAGAACCACAATCACGACGGAGAAACCGATAACGCCAGGATCCAAATGTACCTGCGAAATGCAGGGCTACGGAAACTACAAGAGGAAACAACGACCGCCCTCGACGAATTGATTACGGAAGAGGAATTAGCAGCAGCATTGAAACGGACAAGAACCGGAAAGGCACCAGGACCAGATGGATTCTCCACAACATACTATAAAACCTACGCAACACTGCTACTACCCTGGCTAACTAAAGCTGTCAATGTGATCACGGAGGGAAAAACATTCGGGGCCGAATCCCTGGCGGCGACGATAGCAGTTCTCCCTAAACCTGGCAAGGATCCGATGTATTGCAGTAATTACCGCCCGATCTCCCTTCTCAACGTGGACACTAAATTATTCAGACTCCAGGCACCATTACCGGGCTTGATACATGTGGACCAAACCGGGTTTATCCCAGGACGGGAGGCGAGGGATAGTACGCTGCACCTATTCGCAATACAACATCTGGCGCAGAGGTCGCGACGACAACTCCTCTTACTCTCCACGGATGCAGAGAAGGCATTCGATCAGGTACAGTGGCCATACATGATAGCTACACTACAGGAAATGGGTGTAGGGCAAAACTTTCTCACATGGATCAGAGCCATCTACAACAATCCCAGAGCAGCAGTTAGGGTTAACGGGGCACTCACAGCTGACTTTTCAATATCAAATGGCACGCGTCAGGGATGTCCCCTATCCCCGTTACTTTTTGCCATAACTCTAGAACCCCTCCTACAAACAATTCGCCAAAGCCAGGATATACGGGGATTCCCATGGAGAGAGGGGGACCAAAAAGTGGCCGCATACGCGGACGACCTCCTCTTCTTCATTAGCAACCCGAGGACTACACTACCATGGCTGCTAGCGGAATTCGACAAATTTGGCCTAATTCCGGGATTCAAACTCAACTACTCCAAGTGCGAAGTGTTGAATGTAACGATCCCGGGGGAGGAATACAGAGCACTGGAAACGCTGTTCCCTTTTAAATGGTGTACCACCAAGATGAAATACCTGGGCATATGGATAACACCTGACCCGAAAGACCTATACCACCACAACTACACTCCATTGTTACAGACGCTGCTTAGTCAAATGGTCATACCCACACATCTCTTGGCATGGACGTGTAGCGGTCCTGAAAATGAATGTCCTACCACGCCTTCTGTACCCATTTCAGACTATCCCAATCGTCATACCACCCCCATTCTTCAACACACTTAAATCAGCGGCTCTTCGATATGTATGGAGGGGCGAGCGCTCAAGAATCAAACACGAAACGCTCTGCCTACCCAGACATTGCGGGGGACTTGCCCTGCCTGACTTTAAGAAATATTACCAGGCAACAATCTTACAACGTATCCTAAATTGGCACTCGAAGACAGAGCAAAAACAATGGGTATCCCTGAACGCGGAAGGAAATAGCGCAGCTCTACACTCCACCATATGGGATACACAGGGACTCGACACACCGGATGACTATGGACCGGTAGCACAGACGATACGTGGTTGGAGACCCCTAAGGGAGCAAAAACACGTATCACCAACACCGAGCCCACTGCTGCCTATTACCTATAACCGCAAAATAGGGGGAGGAATTCCCACACGAACTGGCCCATTCTCGGAAGAACAGGGACATGTCCCTCTTCATACGGTGCTTCAAAATGGCACAATCCGTTCCCTGGACTCGCTACTGAATGGCAGACCGTGCACTTTACAACTAACGCTCAGATATCTCCAAGTGAAACACTTCCACAGTTCGCTCCACAACAAAGACCGTCTGAATCGAGAACTCACATGGTTCGAGGAATGCTGCACGAAAGCTGTCGAACTCGACAAAACAATTTCCTTACTATATCAACACCTCCTAATCGGACACCTAACTGAACATGACACGTACCGCGGTACATGGGAGAAACTCCTTGCTAAACCACTCACACGACATCAATGGGACAAAGCGCTGCTCTGGCACCATAAAAGCACCATTAGTTCACAATTTCAAGAAACGAACTATAAATTGCTGGCAACATGGTATAGAACACCCTCGCTCCTTCATAAAATATACCCATCTACCTCACCAATCTGCTGGAGGTGTCTGACTGAACAGGGATCTACGATCCACCTATGGTGGGAATGCAGCATGATTATCCCTTACTGGGAAATGATTAGAGTGGCGGTACGTGAGATCCTAGGAGAGGTGACAGATTGGTCGCCCGAATTAGCTCTACTCCACATATCACCGATGCCAATATCCAGCTATAAAAAATCGATCTTACGACACCTATTGAATGCGGCCAAAATACTCATACCCATATATTGGAAAAAAACAGAAACACCGAAAAGGGAAGAATGGATACGCAAAGTAGAAGAAATCCAGGGAGCAGAAGTGATACACGCATCTCTACTTGGCAGAGCCACCAAACACGCAGAGACCTGGATGCCCTGGTTCATGTACATCTCAAGGGGCCTCCGGACGTCGGCGGAGCTCCTCACGGGTGAGGAACGGGGCTCTGAGCGATGGCCCGTCCCACGGGGCCCGGCCATCTGGAGCGGCGATGACGCAGGAATGGGCGGCTCCGTCCTTACACTCCCCCCCTTCCCCCTCCTCTCTTCTCTTCTCCCTCCTCTTACCAACCCGTACCCCCCCCCACCCCGTCCTCCCTCTATACCTATACCCCATTCCCCCTCTCACTTTCTTAACTACATTTTAGATGAGCCGGGAAATCCCAACTCATAGATAGGCAGACGGACGTATAACTTATCTGACCAAAACCACACACGAAGACCATCGCCAGAAATATACGACAGGCTCACTACTGAACAGAACAACACAAACACTGACTCGGACAGCATTAACCATTGGACAACAAAAACTGATAAACCACGCATAACAGTCACATAAAGATATCATCAGGTAACCGTACCGACCTACTGATACATTGACACTGATTGCTAATCATACAATGTATAAACAGTGCCTTATCAGAGGCCTCACCTGACGACCAACACAGATAAGGGTAACGATAAGTGGCATGCCGATGGCACTCAGTTCCCGCCCGAAACCCGACAATTGTAACACGGGACAATGAACGCAGATGTACATGCCACCTATCTTGACATTAACAAGGGCAAGACTATGTTTGTATGTAATAATGCATCCATTTGTAAACCATGCTCCACCGAAATTTGGTACTATTCCTCCACGAAAATGTTTGTATTGAATTTCTCTGCAAAAAAACCTCAATAAAGGATTTAAAAAAAAAGAAAAATGATGTAATTGAATATTCTGTTTTTGCAAGTATGCATCTAGTTGCTGTTTAAACATCTGTATGGACTCTAATAAAACCACTTCTTCAGGCAGAGAAGATAATGTTATCAAGTTATATTATTCTATATTAATATCAAAGAAGAAGATTGACTGGAACATCAACGATTGACAGGGAGCTTAGTTGGAGGTATTTAGCTCCGGGTAAGTAGTTAATACATTGCTGTGAATTTCTACATTACCTTTTATTTTTCACCTTGCACGCACACATTTCTTTGTTAATTAAGGATAATAACCCTCACAACAGTTCTGACTGTTCGCTGGCAGGGCACTCCTGATTTTAGGGTCCTATCCTGCCATCGCGATTCAGTTCCCTGGTATAGGACTAGTGAGCACTCCAGCAGACCTGAAGGTCGGGGGGTTGCCAGACAGACCCCTCCAGTCCTTCAGTGGGCCCCTGCAAATTTCACTGGTGACACCCCCTCTCATTCCTGCCCACCCACTTCACTCTTAAACCAGCCAATGTTGGGAAGTATGTGGTAGAAGTAAGCATAGTATTCACAAATTCTAAGTTATAATTCCCCTGTAAATTAAGACTAGGAAAATCACAACATTTGAATGCTTTTCCGTCTGTTGATGTTTTTGGATATGTACGATTGCATGTTTGCTAAATCTGTCCTTGAAAGTGTTAGTAACAGTTAACTGTGCCTCCATATCTATAGTCAGGGGTTTATTTAATAAACAGTAAAATGTGAAAAAACTCAAGATTACTGCAACAAATAATTCCACTATCTCTGCTTGTATTTGTACAGGCTGGGGTGAAGTCTGGGCTGTATTTCCCAGGAGGCATAGCAAAGTATTTAATTTGTTTCCATGTTTATTGATGATAACATATTTACTCCATCTATATTTTTTTTTAGATTTGGGGTAGCTGATTACGAATCCCCTACCCTTATTTTACATGCAATTATAGTGGTCTATTTACTAAACAGTGAATTGGGTTGCATTAACATCAAAATACATAATTTACACAAATACAGATTTTTGACTTAGAGCGCGCAAAATGGTTGTTTGCACAACATGCCTTATCATTATAATAATTATTATAATATTAGTAGCAGCAGAATTTATTGTACATGCATCATCTGGTTATATGTTCTTAAGAATATGTATGTTTTGGATATATCAATTGGTATATCTCGGTTCTTGCACACGCTATTTTTAAATCTTTTGGGATCTGGTTTGTCTCTTTGGTCTTTTCTAGGATAAGATAGCGGACAAACAAATTAATTGTTTGGAAGTAATGGAGCACACTCAGGGCGATGAATGCACGCTAAAGTCATACTGCTCGTACAGGCTAGTGTGACCCTTAGCACATCCAAGAATGACACACTGAAAAGTTGAGGCTCACTGCCAATCCTTAGGTCAAGAGGAAATTTAGACATCTCAATACAATGTACAATTCAGCATGGTGCGGTTTTAACGATTACAGAACTCAAACGAGTGTTTTCATGATCTTTAGAAGTGTCTCTTAAAAAAAAAAAAATCTAACAAGAGTATAACGTCATTCAAGGCCAAATACTACACATAATTCACTGGCCTCGTGAAAGCTTGTGTTGCCATTACAATCCATAAACCACTGTAGGCACTGTAACCGCTTCATCTCATTGAAGTGGTTATAGTGTCTGTCAGGGCCCGGACTGGGAATGAAAAGTAGCCCTGGAAAAAAATTATATACCAGCCCCATAATGCATCGCGCCAGCATAGTGTGCATATATGGAAGCGGGAAAAAAAACTTTAAAACTGAAAACTATTACTCAAATGTGAAAGAAAGCACTCATAGGGCTTCAAAATAAACAAAAGAGCGGATTTATTATAAGCAGACGTGTATTTGCATATAATCAAATGTTTCAGTCCATTTTCTTGATATATTAAGAAAAGTTTGGTCATTTGGACTAAAATTGTGAATGTATTGTGAATGTATGCTATTGCACAGCAGTAAAAAAAATGGTTATCTTGTTTTTTTTTTTGAAGTAATAAGAGTGTACTCTTCACTTTGGCTTACAACTGGATACATTTCAGTCAATGCCAATTAATTTCCCATAGTAAAGCATTGGGGGGCTTTTGCGCATGTGTGGCAAAATGCTGCGCTTCACCGCACCAATCAGCATCTCCTCACCGCACCAATCAATGCATCTCTATGGGGAGCGATCAGCGTCTCCATGCAGAGTGTGCAGCACTGGACTAGGAAGCATATCTAGTGGCCGTCTGAGTGACTGTCACAAGAGATGTGCCTAGACAGCAATGTAGACACTACCTTTTTTCTGAAAAGGTAGCATTTACAGTGCTTAGCCTACAGGGACAGGCTATAGACAACAGAACCACTACATTAAACTATAGTAGCTCTGGTGACTACAGTGTCCCTTTAATACTAAGTCTTTCTCTCACCTGACAACTCAGGGTTACAGGGAGAGCAGGAGACACAAGTGAAGATGCATTTTGTTTGTGTCTTTCTCTCCCAAGCCCCTTTCGTGTGTCTCTTAGCCCCATCCCCATTGTCTCTTTCTCCCTTTCCACAGCCCTTCTGTGAGTGTCTTTCCCATGTCTCAGCACCTCTATGTGTATCTTTCCCCACAGCTCCTTTGTGTGTCTAATTCTCCCATTTCCTAGTCCCTCTGTGTGTCTCTTGTTTGTCTTCCTCAGCTCCTCTGTGGGTGTCTCCTGTTCCACTTTCCCAACCCCTCTGTCTCTTTCTCCATGTGTCTCATTCCACCCTCTCCAGTCTTCCATGTGTCTCTTTCTCCCCACACACGTCTGTGTGTCTTTTTACTCCCCAGCCCCTTCATGTGTCTCATTACCCCAAAGCCCTCCATGTGTCTCATTCCACCCTCTCCAGTCTTCCATGTGTCTCAGTAGCCCCCAAATGTGTCCCATTAGCCCCTAGCCCTCCATGTGCCCTATTAGCCCTTTCTCCATCCATATAGCCCACCCAGCCCTCCATGTGTCACACTAGCCCTCCCTCCCAGCCCTCCATGTGTTCCTATAGCACCCTCCCAGCTCTCCATGTGTTCCTCTGCCCCCTCCCAGCCCTCCATGATTCCCTATACCCCCTCCCAATCATGTATGTGTCTCATTAGCCCTTCCATGTGACTCGGTAGCACCCTCATCTGTCCTATACCCCCTGTGTCCCATTAGCTCCCCAGCCTATGTGTCCCTATAGCCCCCTCCCAGCCCTCATTGTGTCCCAATCGGCCCCCTACCAGCCCCCATGTGTCCCACTAGCCATCCCTCCCAGTCCCCATGTGTCCCATTAGCCCCCTCTCATGTGTCCCTATACCCTCCTCCCAGCACTCCATGTGTCCCATTAGTTCCCCCACAGCCCTCCATGTGTCCCTATACCCCCCAGCCCTCCATGTGTCCCTAAACCACCCTCCATGTGTCTTTATACATACTTCCCAGGCCTCCATGTGTTCTTATTTCATTAGTACCCCCAGCTCTCCCTGTATCCCATTAGTTCCCCTACCAGCTCTCCTTGTATCCCATTAGTTTCCCCCCAGCTCTCCCTGTGTCCCATTAGTTCCTCCTCCAGCTCTCCCTGTGTTCCATTATTTCCCTCCCCCCCAGCTCTCCCTGTACCTTGCTGTAGCGTGGCCGAGCAGGCAGACCGTGGTGGAGGAGCTAGTATGCCGGCCCAGCGGGAAATTTCCCGGTATCCCGGTGGGCCAGTCTGGCCCTGGTGTCTGGAGCAGAGGCGCAGCTAGAAACCACGGGGCCCAGGTGCAAAAATTGCCCTGACAGCATGGGCCACCCGATGGGCCCCTTCAATGCAGCCCAGGCGGTTATACCGCGCACGCTGGGGTCGCGTTACTTAGCTGCGACCTCTGCGACCGTAGCAGTTCCGCCACTGGTCTGGAGTCCCCTGGTGCCATCATTCCATTTAGCTTTAAAAAGTATTTAATGTTTTAATGTTAAACAAAAGTCCTAAGCAGCCCACCCCTTCTGTGCTGCTTGAGCTAATGAGAAAGCATTAGTCTGAACATCAATGGGTGGCTGTGATTGACTGAGAGCATCAGCTGTTTGCTTCCAGCCTATGACAGTGCTCATTTACGGTATGAATTGGTATTTATAGAAGGAAGTGTGCAATCTCTACTTTAGCAATGAATTCAGTGGGATGGGGCAAGAGGAAGCCAGGGACCCTTATTTAGTGTTAAACATCTCAAAAATATTTAAATAATAGATGAAGGGACAGCACCAGAGGACTCCAGGCATTACAAACCATTCAATGAGATGAAACGACAAAAGTGTCCCTTTAAGTGTTGAACATAGCTAGTGCCCTTAGCGTAGTGCAAGTGCTTCTAATGATGTGCTTGCTTTATGATCTGAGAGCAGATTGCTTTTTTTCCACAAATGTGGGAAACCAGGGAACCAACCTGGGATGGAAGGACAGAAGCCTGAAGTTGTAACTGTCCCAATGGATTTAGGACAGTTAGGATGCCTGAAAGTAATACTCACACCCCTTTATATGTTTTATCTAAAACATTAGCACCTTTGCTTTTTTCTTCCTGCTTTGTTCTTCCAAGCACCATATCCTCCCATTGTTCTTACTTCCATTCCTTTAAACGCCCAGAGGCCATCACTTCTCTTACATTGTTGAATCCAGATTGTATTTCACCTACCCTGTCTCATTCTCCTCTAGATGGTGGTTTTGGACCTTTAAAAACCTTGTAATTTGCATGGGCAGATCCAGGGGAAGGGGCACCAGGTCAAGTACCCTTCCAGAGAAGCCAAACCAAGACTGTCAGGGGATATCAAGGGATCTCGAGAACTGGCCAAAGAGGGAGCTTTAATGCCAGTAAAGGCCAATCTCTTTAATTGGCCAGGTCACCCTGATGCCAGTAGTAGGAGAAAGTACTTGGGCTGAAGCTCCTGTAGGTATAGACCAAGTTCTCCTCTCCTTTTACAGTATTGGAGCGTTGCCGTGGGTTAACATGGCACCAGCTAGAAGGAGCTGTCTGCACCCACCGGACCACCAGTGATCATGATCTCAGGATCAGGATTTACTCCTCCCTAGCATAAGGTAAACTTTAAGGCGTGGGGGATAAACTTTAGTTTATTTTGTTTCTGATTTTTAATACTTGTCTTCTCAGCTTTTATTACCCCACTATAGCCCCCTATCACTGCAATTACAGCCTCTTTTAAAACACTACAGTCCCTAACTCCCTTAATTATAGCCCCTTTCCTCCACTACAGCAACTATTCCCTTCTACAACTCCTACACACTACTACAGTTCCTATCTCCCCCCTACAGCCCCTATTACCCGACTACAGTTTCTACCCCCCCACAGCCCATATTACCAGACTACAGTCCCTATCCCCCCACTATAACCACCCACTGCCGACCCTATCCCCTACAGTACAGTACTACCAAGTACTACAGTCTCTATCTCTCCTACTGCAGCCTCTATCACTCCACTACAGCCCTCTACTAGTGCCCCTTCTGAGATTAGCAACTGCATCCACTCCTGTTAGTTTGTTTATCTTTGAGATTTATTCTCTACTGAATTGTAGAGAACTGAAAGCCAAATTGCAAAATATAAGCAAAAATAGCCAAGCTGTCAATAACTGAGTTGGGAAATTTTAACATATTAGCAATTTTGGCCTTAATGTAGCAATTTGTTTTTCAATTCTCTACAGTTTTGTTCTTAGTTACAATTACATATTCTACAATCTTCTAATGTAATTTTATTGTATACAGTATTGCAGATTTTTTAGTGTTATATAAAATAATGGCAATAATAATAATTATATAAATTATTATATCTACAATGACCAAGTCTATCATAACATCTGTATAACTTTACTTTTTCGTCTTGCTCCTACCTGTTCCATTTGTGTATGTGTGGAAATGTATGTGCTGTGTTTGTCTCTGTTTGCATTTTGAACACTTCAGATAAAACTTCAAAGGGATTCTTTCCTCTCTCTTAACAGTCTCCAAATACTCCTTCGCTAGATGTGTGGAGTGGCACATTTAACCCCTTCCACATTGTAATATTCAGAATAATTGTTTCTGTCGACCTTTCCGATTGGCTGACATTCAGTCCTTGACCTCATGAACACTTGCTGGAACAATGCTTTGTCCAGCATTAGCTATTTGAAATTCCAGATTGACTGAAACATCGATCTTTTCTTCATGTTAGAATAAAGACACCTTTATCCTTGATAAGACCATGGGTTCTACCAATCTTTCTACATTTGTATTTATGGGCCTTTGGAGAAGCACCCGGTATTATGTACATTATCGAGCCTCAGTGCATGGACTAGGATTAAATATATATTTCCAAAGATTGCCCTCAACTCTGACTCCAATGTTATCTATTTGCTGGGGCTTAATGTATATACTCTGATTCCATACCGGCACCCTGCAGCTTTGCTTAAGTTTTGTTCTTTATTCCACCAAAGTTACAAAGTCAACATTTCAGTTCAAGGTTTGAAGGCCCCAGCTAATGGATAACTCACTTCTTCCCCAACCTTCTCCAACCTTTTAAGTTAGGGGACTGGTACTACACACCATTTTTATTGATGTCCTGGTCCCACTTGGTCTTCTTTCATGGTGCCCCATCTTAAAGTGTCTAAGATGGTGTTGCCACAATCTCCTATGCTCTGCTTTTCCTTGTACACCAAAAATCATTTTTGAAACAAAAAAAATGGGCCAGATGAGATGGGAAATTTTGGACATGTTTATTTTAAAAAATGGAAAAACTGCTTTAAGGCAGTGACATAACTTCCTGTATGCAGTTTGCAGTGAGTTTAGATTAGGTTGCTATGTTTTTGAAGAATACAATCATGACTATCTCTGTATATTCCTGGTTACTAGTGCAAAATAAAACTATTTTGTACTTCATTATTTAAATTTGTATTCTAGCCTAGGTACCAAAATGATTGTGGTGAGGCCAAACATAATATAACACCCCACAGTGCAAATACAAAAAAATACTGTTATGCATCACCTGCATATGTCAACAGGTCCTTCGTGGGCATAGAAACTCACCTTTGAAGTGAAGTGTGTGTCTAAGTGTGTGCTGGGGACTCACACACTACACACATATATCTACACATGGATACACACACTACACCCACACAGATGCACACATACAGTTACACACATTACGCACATACAGAAACACACTACACACAGATACACACACTACAAACACACATAGATACACACATACAGATACACACACAATGAAATTACAATTTAGAGTGGCCTTTTATTGTGACCAGCCTAAGGCACAACTGTGCAATAATCATGCTGTCTAATCAGTATCTTGATATGCCACACCTGTGAGGTGGATGGATTATCTCAGGAAAAGGAGAAGTGCTCACTAACAGATTTAGAGAGATTTGTGAACAATATTTGAGAGAAACAGATATTTTGTGTACATAGAAAAAGTCTTAGATCTTTGAGTTCAGCTCATAACAAATGGGGGCAAAAACAAAAGTGTTGCATTTATAATTTTGTTCAGTATATATAATGCTTTCCTATGGGGTTTTGCTGAATGTCCTCATGCAGAGCAGCGTTAGTTAGGTGAATCAACCTGAAGTCCCTCTAGTGGCTATCTGGTAGAGAGCCACTAGAGGTGGAGTTGACCCAATGAGCTGAAGTTGTCTTGGTGTCTATAGTGTCAAGACACTAGGCCAAACTTCTGGAATAAAATGGAATCATGACATGTCACACATGTCATGTGTCCTTAAGGGGTTAAATAATTACAAACTTAGTTCTCGCCTACAAAACCCCCATAACTGAACTCCAATCTATATATTATGTCAGATCTTGGTTTTTCCATCTACCATTCACACTCATCTGTCATCCATCAAACCCCCTCAACCGTAGCTATGTCCTTCTGTATCTTTATGTTCATAGAACACCAGACTTTTCCCTGGCCTCCTAATTTTTAATGTAGCACTAAAACCTGGCTTCTAGTGAAACATAACCTGTTCTACTGCTGTTTGCTTTAATATCAGCCCACCGTCCTGCTCTACAGCTTCAGTGTGATGTATTAATGTAAATATGGTATACTTGTTCATATAATAGCAATCTGTCTTCCTTTCTTCACTTGAATTCATTGTTCTAACTATCTTTAGTGAAATTGTTCCTTCTGACAGCAAGTGTTCTAGAAGAGGGCTTTTAGTGCATCCTACTCCCGCATACCTAACTTGTTCTGTCACAGTTACTTGTATGTGTTCTTTAAGTACCATAAAGTGCCAAAGGAATAGGAAGTCACTTTCTAAATAGCAATCTTATTCTGCTATATAAATCTCGCAATGGATAAAGGATCTAGTTAGTACACTGACAGCTATGGCGAACTGACAAGTGAATTGGAAAATTTAGGCCGAAGTAGCCAACTTGGGAACTAGATGGGTAAAATGTTCATTCCCACACGGCTATTTTCTAATAAATTTTACTATTCAGGTCTCCAGTACATTTCACTGTTTAGTGAGTGAAGCTCTAAGTGAGTTTTCCATAAAATCCATTTCACAAATTAAGGCCTATGGAAAAGACTTAAGAAGATTACAATAACCTTTCTGCTTTTCTCCTCGATATATAAAGGTTATTTCCTTCCATTATTTAGAGATTGTCTGCATTTTTGATCAGTGTTTCTTTAGCTTGTTTTCTCTGACACTTATTAATAAAAAAAATTTGTAATATAGGCTGCCCCCCAAAAAAGCACCAAATGAATGGGTGCGGGGAAGGCAGTGAGGGCGCAATTGAAGTAGGGTGGGAAGGAAAATTAAGGCTTCCCCCTGCAGGCAGTGCTGGGGAAACTTTGTTTGATAGAACTGACATTAAGCAGTGGGTAATAGAGTTCTGGGCTACCAAAGTCAGATTCCTATCACTATGACCACTTCTAAAAGCAAAAGTGGTTATGATGGTTTGAGTAACTTTTTCAAGCAAATGATCAAAATTGCAGTGTTAGGAAGGAAGAGGGGTGACATTCAAAATCCGCTGCAGAAGCTGTTTGTCCGTAGCAAGCCCTATAGGTGAAACAGTTAAAAAAATGGAATGCCATAAACATCACACTTGTATTTGTAATGTACCCGAAACTACTGTACATTTGTATTTAAAGGGGCATGTCAGGCTGCATTTTACGTGTCATTTTAGTGTACTGTGCAGATAATGCAATGAATAATGCTAAAAAATACAATGCATAGCTCTGAATAATTCTTTTTAGTAGCAGATAAAAAATATATTAATCCAAGGTTACCTACATTGGCACATTTATAAATATAGTCCCTGGGACAACTCTTAAATTCTCAGATTTATTTTCTCATGGGAGTTTCTCTGTGATGAAAGAAAGAGTATTGATTTATTAGCTCTTAGATGATTTTCCATTAAGAAAGCAACAATGTATTCTGCAAATCTGTACAGAAGCAGGAAAATTATTCCAAGCAAAATGCAAGGACACGTACAGATAAAATTAGTTTTAAGAATCCTGTTCTAATCCTGTCCACGTTATTTGGTATTTACAAAGTGTCAGCAGCTTTTGATAGTGCTGTACAGTTGTACAGATTGCAAATCTGTTCCCATATGGAAAATGTTCCTTGATAATAATTATATAAATTTGGATTGAGGGGCCAGCTCTTATGAGCCTTTAGTCTTGATGGAAGGTGGTAAAGGAGGAAGATGAGATAATCATTAAGAAGGACTTAATAAACCAATAAAACCTGAGGTTTTTACAGTCAGTAATACATGAGTTACTATTTTAATAAATGTACAACCTAATATGTTGACAATTTGCAAAACATAATAATACTAAAAACAATGAAAAACAGATAAACACTTGAGTATGTGCCATATGGTTATTTCCCAGTCAAGAAGGCTCAGTTAATGTATGCCTCACTTGTGCCATTACAAAGATAACCTGCTCCACTTTAATATCAGGATGTTCCAAACAAAACAGGAGTCCAAAACTAATAAACTTTAGGTTCCAGTTAAATTCCGAGGAAACGTAACCATGTTAACCTACCACTTCATCTCAGCTTGTCATTCTGCACAGAGCAGGAACCTGGTCGGACTAGACCATAGACATGTAAAAGACAGAATAATGCTGGGCCGTATTCTTAATTGTGGACATACAATAAAGAGACTCAGCTTTAAATATAGCTCAAAACAATGTACTTGACTAGAGGTTATGCCCCCAAAAATAATGCAAACTCTTCCTTCCAAACAGTGGCGGATTACCGTGGTCACAGGTGCAACCAGGCCCGTCACTCCAAGGGGTTCGGCCGCCCTGTGAACCCTTGCGACCTGGGTGCTCACCGGCCATATAATTTGGCCCCGGCCCGGGCGTTATAACCACCGGGCCGTGCATTCAGGGGCCTAATGGGTGGCCTATACTGTTAGGGTAATACATTTCCAGTGGGCTCGGTCAGCGCTGGGCCCCCTGTGATGATGTCAGACGCTGGGAGGAAGTGAAAGCCCCGATTACTTCCTCCCAGCAACCACCAAGAGCTGCAAGGAAAGAGGAAGGAGAGGAGGGAGTCAGAGTGGGAACTCTGACTCCCATCACCTGGAGGCAGTCACTGGACCCCAGGGAAAGTCACCCACCTGCACCTAAAAGGTAGGAAACAGGACGATAACTATAACATGTATTTTGTATGTGTGTCTGTATGTGTGTGTGTTTGTATGTATGTGTGTTTATGTGTCTTTGTATGTGTGTGTCTTTGTATGTGTGGTCCCCAGGGCAATTTTCACACCAGGGCCCCGTGGTTTCTGGTTACACCTCTGCTTCCAAGCAAAAGGATATAAATAGAGAAGATATGCAAAATGTAAAACTTCACTACAATTATGTAGTTAATCATGTATAAAATATTTACATTATATGCATAAGTATTTTGAATTCTGAAATAATATAAACATATTTTATCATGTGACAATGGATCTAATATATCCTGTGTCCTGGACTCCTGTAGCTTCTCTAAGTGCACACCTGCTGTTTAAGCAAGAAATTCTCTAATTTAATAAGATCCTGGAGTATCATACGTTATCTCCTAAACTCAGCCAAACATGCACAATATTCCAATATTCTGTTATGCTAATTATAATCGTCATCTACTCTGTCCCTTGGTAAATAAAACTGGCTCATTAAAGCATCTCCTACATCTCTGGAAAAAAAAAAAACATGTTTTGCCTATTGGTATTATTCTATATGTGCCCCACCAAAATAATCACTCAAAGAGCATTTTCAATTAAAGCTCACTATTACCATATAAAGGAGCATATCCGCAGAGCAGGCAGGAACAAGACAAAACCGCCGGACGACTATCCAACTGTGAAACTTTTCACAGACCTCTCCCCAGCGACACTCAGCAAGCAAAAATAATTTTCCCCAATTGCAGAGGCCCTCAGATGCAAAGGCATAAGGTACCGCTGGGGATTTCCCGTCAAAATGCTGACACACAAGGAAGTGAAAATGATCTCCATTACCTCCCCGGAAGACGGCCTCCGTCAGATGAGATCTTGGGGAATAGAAAACCTTCTGGACGAACAAACAGGCTCACAGCCCAAAAAACTGCAATTAGACTGGCACAAAAAAACTCTAACAAAAAAAAACACTCTGGACTGCTCCTCGAGCGCGCAAACTCCCAATAATGCAAGTATCTCTTACGCTAAAATGTTGCATAACTATCCCTAGTAGCTCTTAAATCAAAATGTATGTAAAGAACCTATATTATTGATATGTATTTTAAGCGGGCATAACTGCAGAAATGAAGGTTGACCTCCTGGTGCACATGCCATCTACCGTATTAAAGCTCTCATACCCCCTTTGCAAGCAGGAAAAAAGAGGTAATCCAGCACGCAAATTAATACCACCCCACCCCCCCGTGCCGAGAACCCCAGGGGACCCAACCCCCCCCCCGCAGCTATAAGAGACCCATCTCCCCCTGCTCAATAACCTGCACGTCCCCAGAAAGCAGTAGCTCAGTGGCTGCGCATACTATACCGAACAGGTAGAAAGCACCCCACAACTTAACCCACGCAACTTAACCCCAAGTACACAGGGGTACACCTAAAGAAATAAAACTGGGACTCACTCACCGCCCTGGCGGTACTCTAACCTCCTAATCACAAATCAGGTTGGGCCCATAGCACCTTGAGAATACATGGGGATTCACTACCCCCCTTTGCCCCTCACCCATATATGAGCAAGTCCCTATAGCCAGAATACTATCCGGGAGGGAAAGGGAGGATACATCCCAACCCCACCTAAACCAGCAATTACAAATCAGGGGAACGATGGTTAAGCTAACCATACCCCAAAGGGGGACTTATGAGAGAGTTACACGGAGTAAACTGGGGGAAATCTGGTAAAAATAAGAAAAGGATATTGACTGCCATTGAAAACATTAATGCACCAATAACCAATGTACTTATAACCATGCTTCATGCTTACTGTATTAACGTACACAGGTTGATGTAATGGAGGTAAAGTGATTTACACTCACTCCAACAACAGACCAACACTCCCACACACACACACACAATGCATCATCACAGGAATGACCATGCAAACAGGGAATGAGACGAGCATGTATTGTGCTAAGTCGGAACCCTCAAGCCCCACCCCCTCCGGTCTCCCAAAAAGAGCATACTGGGATCTCAGCCAGTACTTAGACAGCTGAGAAAGGTAGCTGACGAAATAAAACAACCTATAAGGGGACTAGCAGGAGGAATCCCAAAGTAATGCCAAACCCGACATCTGATAATGCCCGCTATAAGTTAACAACAAAAATGGAACAGACCATAGGGACATTAACACGCAGGTAGAAAGTATAAAAGAGAGAACAATGGGAGCAAACGCACGAGGACAAAAGGAATATCTAATGATATTTAGTACAAGAGTCAGACGGGGAAGACGCTCAGGGCTGGAAGCCTCCAAAATCCTAAAACACAACACTTTTAAGTACTAATCGGGGGGCTGATACAAGACCAAACCCACAGCTTAATCCCCACCTAGACCACATAAAACAGCTTCTGTACACCCACTAAATTGTGAACATGATGTTAAATAGCTCACTAGCCACCCACAGGGAAAAATGTTTCCTACCCCCGCAGTGCACAAGGTCGACACTGCGCCCCACAAGGGGAACTACTTGTATATAGCCCTAAACCCCCCACTTAAATCCCTACCCCCATTCACAGTTCACCCCATTCCCCCCCCGTGACTTACGACCT